GCAGCGCTGGGCTGCGCTCTGCTGGGTTGGGTTTCACCTGGGACAGATCGAAGCCTCGGGGCTGCGCAGGGGCAGAGCTAAGGTGACCCCAAAGGACTCGGATGGGGCGTGGGGTCCCTTGAGGGAGGGCTCTGGGGAGTGGGAACCGTTGCGTTTATTCACAGGAGGTGGGAATTGCTTCACACTGCTGCTCTGTGGCTGGATGGGCTGCCCAGCCAACGTCCGGCTCTTGCTGGGGAAGCATCAGGAGAGCTCAGTTTGGAAGCAAAGAAGAACCAGTGATTTATTTTTTAACCACAGACGTCACTTCTCCAACTTGTTTGTTGGGCGCTGCGAGCTGCTAATAAATTAGAGGGACGGAGCAGTGCCACGGCCCAGCACTGCCCTCCCTGAGGCTCCCATTGTGAGAGTTTCACTTTTGCAAATCGCACCCAGAGCTGCAATCCTCCACTGCTGCACAGCACTGCAGGTGCAGCTGTGCCCGAGGGCTGAGCTGCACACACACAGCGGCCGGGGCTGCAGCGGGCACCTCTGCCACTGCTGGAGCTGCAGACAGAGCCAGCTGCAATCAACGGGCACAGCCCACCCCCAGAAATGGGGCTGGGGAAGCCAGCAGGCGTTATCCCGGCTGTGAGCTGTGCCTCCTCCAGTCTGGCCTTAAAGAGCATTTCCGATGCTGGGCGATGAGAGCGGGGAGGCCTGCGTGCCTGGAGCCTGCTGCCCTCTTGGGATTGCAGCTCAAATTCCTGGCACGGATGGGAGGCTGGGATTTGCATCTACAGGATTTCCAGTAAGTTTTGCAGCCCTGGTATGCAGCTGCAGAGCTGCTGGCCGGGGGGGGGAAAGGGGGCAGGTGTGATGGGGGCACTGCGGGATGGGGGGCTGCGATGGGGCAGGGTAAAGCCCCGGGTTGGTGCCCTGGATGGGGGTGCTGGGAGGTCCTGGGGCTGATGTCATGGAGGGGAGGATGTGAGCAGCCCCATGGTGTGAGGGATCCTGTGCTGGGAGCGGGGAGATGAGGGCAGACTGCTGGGAGCTGCAGGAGCCGTGCAGCACCTGCATCTGCATGAGACTTGGCCTCAGCCCAGGGCAGTCAGCACCCGGCCTGGAGCTGCTGTGCTCCAGCAGACAGGAGGCTGAGAGCTGACCCTGAGCTGCTGTGCCTGCATGGGTTCTGCTTCTGCCCAGCGCTGTGTGCTGCAGCACCAGGTCCTGCAGAGCCCCTGTGTGGGGTTCCCAGGAGCTGGACTGCTTGTGGTGCTCAGAAGGGAAGAGCTGGAGCACGAGCACCTCAAAAAGGCGTCAGGCACATCAGCCATGCTCCCATGGAGCCCATTTCCCACCGTGGTGGCTGGTCCCCATTGGGGCAGTGTCACTGAGCACTTCTCCATCGTGCCCGGAGCCCCCGGCAGCACCGTGACCTTCACGGCTGTGTTTTCCTCAGGCAGAGCAGCCTGAGATGTGCACCCCGGGGCAGAGCAGCTGTCAGCAGCACAGTGCAGCTTTCCCCAGCATCAGCTGCCCGTTCTCACCCGCACGACGGCTGCGCTGAGCTCATCCCAATGAGGAGACACAGAAACTGCTCCTGGGGAGGGAAGCACTGAGCGGGGCAGACGGGGATGCTGCACTGTGCTCAGACCCAAAGCTGAGGGTGCCAGCTGCTTTGTGCTGTGTGCTGTGTGTGCTGCCCAGCACTGTGCCCAGGGTCTGCCCTGCCAGCTCCGGGAGCGGGGCAGAGCCCCAGGTTAAGGTTAGAAGGCAGCCACTGAAATGGGTCCCAAACCATTTCTCCTATGAGTGGGGACCAAAAGGATCAGAGCAGCACACACAGCCTTATATGGGAGATCTGGCTCTTATTAACGCCTGGGGTTTACAGTACCTGTGACAGCCAAACGATTTCAGCTATCTTCATAACAGCACAGCTGCTGGAGGCGCTGAGGGCACTCCTCTGGGAGCACAGATGCCTTATCTCCGTTATGAGCTCAATATGAACACTGCCAGCCCCAGTGTTACCTGCACAGAGCAGAGCTCTCACACTGCTGGCAGAGCTCTGATTTCAGGCAGCCCTCGGGACGATGCTGCGTGGGGAGCATCCTCAGCATCCCCCACTGGGGCTCCCACAGAAAGAAACCACTCTGCTTTCAGCCACACCACCTCACACCCATTTTCTGTCCTTTTGGAAGGGTAGAAGTCCTTTCCTCTTTTTTTCCCCCATTCACATTTAAACTCTTTCCAGCAAACGCATCACACAGTGCTGCTTTGGGGGAAAGAGCTTTCCTTTGGCAGAGCCCAACGTGCAGCTTGCAATGCAGGGCAGTGGTCAGCCCCATGAGCCGGCTCTGCTGTGGGCTCAGAGCTGGGGGTCCCCCAGCACACAACCCAACCGCAGCCGCCCGTGGGTGCCCTCTCGTGGCCGCCGTCCCCGCGCAGAGCTCTCACCCCGCACTTCTCCACCTTCCCTGCTCTGCTCCCGGCTCTCACACCGCCGAACCGCGGCAAACTCAGCATTTCCACCAGCAGAAAAGCAGAGCTGCCGGCGCTGGCTCCGTCCCTCGTGCCGTCCCGGCTCTGCCAACACCACGGAGCCCCTCCGGGACACAGCGCCAAGTATGTCACACTGCCTGACGTCGGACACAAAGATTATGAGCTGCGAAACCTCACCCGAGCTCCAGCCAAGAGCTCAGCCCAAGCGAGCTGCTGCCAGCATCCCTGCAGCACTGTGCTCCTCACTGCTCCTCGCTGCTCCTCGCTGCGGGTCCAGGCTGCTGCCAGGCTCTGCTTCTCAATGAAAGGGCACACGTTATCTTACAAAGGAAATTTATTTTGTTTGAGGAAGCTTATGTTACATGCATCGACCGAAGCCAGTACAACAGTGAACAGCGGGGCTGGGGTTCATCAGCATTTCTGGAATAAACCAGGTCAAATTCAAGAATCATTCTGTCTTTAGAAAATACAGTCATAATACAAGGAATGTTTTTATTTTCACTTTAATTACTCTTCCTCTACTCCCTGCCCCCTAGCTGCATATATTCAATGCTCCAGCTTACCAAAAAAGGAGGCAGGAGAGGGCAACCTAACACACATACACGCCCCCCCCCTCCCACCCGTAACAGACCACTGAGATGGTAGGACTGAATCTAGCTCTATTCAGGGAGAAACACAAACAGAGTACCAGGAATAAAGCTCTTGCAACAAACCAGACATGGTACCCTTTAATGATTTCACCAGATAAAAACCTTTTACACGTTGTTCAATGAGATGCTACAAATTCCATCAGTTCTCTTCAGTTTCACGGGCTTTGAACAAGCAGCTGAATACACTGAAATATTGACTTCCAAAAATAAAAATCTTGCATTCTTGTCAGTGTCTGCTGGATATGCTCTCATACCCACCAGAGGAAGGCGTATAGTGCACCAGAGACTGCAGCCTACTATAGGCTTACTGTCAAGTACAGAGACACAGAAGCAATGTATTCCTCAGACCAGGTAAGGTGAAGGCTGGCACGTGTTTGTTTCCCCACAGAGTGACCCTGCTCAGTCCCCTGTCACCTGTGTGGCTTGGCCATCCGAGCTCTGGTTGGTGGACTGGATGAACATGGGCTGTGTGATGTCCTGGCCTGCAGGCATGGTCACTTGCTGGATCTGGTAGAGCTGCTGGCAGACAGAAGAAGGGGAAGGGAGGTCAGTTCTCATCACACACAGCAGTGCTCTGCGCACAAACCCTGAGCAGCTCTCAGGTCTGTGTAAAATCTGTCCCCAGAACCAGACCATGAATTGCCAGTAGACATTTATCACTAAATCATAAAGTAATTCTGTCAATTTCTGATGCCCAGCTGAGTTCATGCTACTTACAACAGCCAGGCTGAACATTAAGACCTTTATTTGTAAGTTGGTTAGGACTAAAATGGACTGCATTAATCTGGAGCAAACGCAGAACACTGAGGAATCCACCTGAATTAAGAGTGGCACAAGATCCACTATTCTGCCTCTGGTTCAGGTTTGGCTGCAGCAGCAGTGCTTTACCTGGAAGAGCTGATTTGCCAGAACACACACAAACCCAAAGACAGTCCTTTCAGCTCTGACTCTGAAGGGATGCAGCACCAACACACCCCGAGCCCTTACCTGTCCGTCTGTGAACTGGCTGAACTGCTGCTGTCCTTGTTGGACTTCTGTCTGCGTTATCTACAAGGACAAGAGAAGGAGAATCAGTGACAGAGCTTTGGAGAGGGTCAGAACCCCACAGACAACATTCTGCTGCAGCCCTTCAAGAGCTTTTCCACTCTTCCAAACTTCACTGCCCCACCGTGTGGTGGGACACATCCCAGGCCAGCAGCCTGCGGTCATGTTGGTGCTGACTGCAAGTCAGGAACAAAGGACATGGGATTGAGTTCTCACAAAGCATGTCCTCTGGCTTTCACAAGGAGAACGTGGCCTCCAGGATCTCAGAGAAGCAGCAGCCCTCTTGTCCTCTGAAGGCAGAGCAGAATCCCTTAATGAGCAGCCCCAAAGATCATGAGCCAACCTGCTGGCAGCAGTGCTGGCCTTGATGTGTCACTGCTGCAAGGCTTTCTGAGAGCTCACGCTGCTGCTCCTCCCTCACCCAACCAGAAGAAGTAAAGAAAAGGCTGATGAACCTGCAACCAGCTCAGAAGCAGCAAGGGCTTTATGCAGCAAGACACACACACACACGCATGCAGCTTTCACATACAGGTAAAGGAAACATCCGCTGCGCTCCTTGCTTTATTATTCTGATGAAGGTAAACAGGAAGAAAAGAAACTGAGGATCCCTAGCCCAAGAGTTGGTAAATTCCACCAGAATTTGCAGTTTCAGGAGTTAAGGAACAACACCATAACAGTAAATGCCAGCCCTGCTGTTGGAGTGCATACCTGCTGTGCATTGGTTGCAAGCGTCTGGATCTGCCCCTGGACTACCTGGGTGCCTGACACAGGTTGGGCTAAGCGGATATACTGCAGCTGGCCAGCATTCAACTGAACCTGGAGACAAGCGGAGGGGGCAGGGAAAGAAAATTAAACAGGTAACTGTGTAACCTGAAACACACAAACTTGCCTTCTTGTTTCCACAACAGAAGCCAGGGTAATAGATGAGACTGGGGAGCTCCAGCTGATCACCGGTGGGGGTGAGGAATTAGCACAGGGCAAGAGCCAAGTCCACAGAACTCCTCCAGGCTCTTGAAGGAGAACCATGAAGAATAACAGGACTTCCTTCTCCAGGACAAAAGGCCAGTTAGTAGCTAAAGCATATTAAGTGCTTTGTTTCAGAGCATCAAGAACACTTATTTTCCCTTTTAGTCACCAGAATGCAGCTACTGCTTGATCTATCATTTCACATACAGACAACTCCTCCGAGCTAGCTGCACATCACGACACTCCTGCTACATGCTGCCAAAAACATAAAGAAAACACAGGAAATTTTCAAATAATTGAAGACAGTAGAGATGACAAAACTCAGGGATATCACAAGATAATATCTAGAGCCCTTAAGTGCAACTCTTCTTTACCTGGCAAAGGCCAACGCTTTGTGTCAGCGCTGTGTGTCACATTCCAATGCAAGTTCATTTATTTCCTACAGCCTGGATCTTGGATGCCTGGGGAGAGGGGTCTGAGCAGAGCCACCTTAGTAACCTCAGCTCTCAGTTTGGGTTTTCTGTGACAGAAGCAGCTAGTGGGACTAAGACACACTGAGAGGCAATAAAAAGGTCACCAGGTGATTGAGACTACCACTGAGTTCTTCATGTTGCACTGTTTAACTTCGGAACACTTTGATTCACAGCCTTACGGTGCATTACATACAAAATATTTTGAGGTATTTTTTGTTTTTAAGGAGGGGAAAGGAAGGCATGCAGAGCACCTGAACACCTTTAGTGACCATGGCTGGAGCCCCTGGCATACAGCCCTGGCACTGCCACCCACTGCTGCCTTCCCAGTTGTGTCCAAAAGCACCAATATTATTTCAGGATCAAATCAACTCCACACAAGCACACATTTCAGTGAAGAATCCATTTCTGCACTGAGCTCTGCCTGCTGAGCAAGTTCTCCACACTGCAGCTTCCTGCTTCCATTTCAACCACGCTCCCAACAGAATGGATGGAAGCAATTCACTGTTCTTCCAGAAATGAGGGCAACCTCCAAAGAGCCATCCCAGCAAGGTCAAGGCAAAGGCATGGATGAAATTTAACACAGAATTCACGTGGGCAAACAAATGGCTGCTATTTAATGGATGCATTTACTGCCTTCCTTCCAGCTTTACTCCGTTTGTTTAAGAAGGCCATTCTCCCAACACTTCTATGTTAGCAGATGCTACCAGTTCTGTGTTTCAGCCTTTTGCATTCGTGTTAAGGAAGATTTTGAGCTGAACCCTAACAGACAGCAGAGTGAAAAGAACTGCCAGAAGGTAACACTAATTGCACCAAGATAGGAAGGAGATTTAGGGGAGAAAGAATAAAAGAGGAGCAGAAAGAGAGCAGAACAGAGAGCAGCAGTGAATAGACCAAGGACTGTAACTCTGTGAATCCACACAACGTGTGCTTCCCAGGCACTCTGCTCTCATGGTGAGTGCGTGGCTCCGTGTTCTGCTGTATTTCACTCGCTGGAAGCAAAGAAGGGAAAGGTGTTTCCTCCAGCACAGACTGTGGTTCTTCAACATGCTGCAATTAAGAGGAATCACATTAATTACTGTCAAGGCAGTACTTCTCCTAGGTACTGAAGTGAGAACTGTATTTCATTATAACACCCCTTCTGAGTTACTCTCTTTTATCATCTTACACTTATTAGGAACCCAAGCACTCCCCAAGACAACAGATGCCCACTCAGGCAGCAGACAGCTCCATCCCAAGCTGCAATTCCAGCAGCACCTGAGGACGGCCATGAGCCCCAGCTCTTCCAGGCTGCCAGGCAAGATGAGGTGGAAGAATTCTCCTGGCCAAAACCAGGTGCTAATTAAAAAGCCTCCAGTGGCTCGTTCATAAAGCACACCATCAATTAACACAGCATCACCTATATGGAGAACGGCATGAAGCATTTCCTGCAGAATGCTTCAGCCCCTTCCAAAGCTGCTTTATAAAGGATTCTTTCCCTCTGCAGATCTCCAGGTCCCTTTCCTGCAGGGACTTACAGCCTTTGGTGGAGATGACTGCGAAACAAGCTTGAACTTCTTTTATTGCCACTCTGTTATAACAGATTCACCCAGGCAGGGGTAGAGATCTCTATCCAAAATGCTTTTAAGTGTCCAAGAGAGACTTCCATAAAGAAAAGGAGGACAAAAATGCAAGAGAAAGGCAGTGAAGAACGTGGAGAAGAAAAAAGGCTGCTGGTGGTAAAACACCATGTTTGGCAAGCAGTGCTTGTCCCTCCTGGTCAACATCTGGTGCAGGAATCAGCTGAAGATTTCAGAGACGAGAAGAAGATGGAAGTGAACTGGGGAGAATCTGGCAGCATGCACAGCCTTAGCTTTCCTCGAGATGCTCTGTCAAAGCACAAACATCTGCCAAAGGGACACTGAGCAAATCTCGACCTGTGTGAGAGATCAGCTTTGCACAGCTGGGTAAGCCTCACAACAGCAAGAGGAATCACAAAGTGAAGTGCTCGTCTTGGTCACCTGTCTGACCTCTGGGACACTGGTTAAGTACATGGAACTGGAAGGACTTTATTGGTTTTTATTTTTAAGGGGTGTGAAATTTTTCAGACGGGAAGCAAAAGGCTCAGTTTTGTTGTCATTAGAAGCTACAAAGAGGGGGAAAATGACATTTTTGGACCCACGTGTTTACCCAGGACACATGCCAGAATTTACGACTCACTGTGTACTCAAAATCCCATTCTTAAGGCACAGCAGCCTTGTGTTAACGTGAAAGTGAGAAGATATCTTCTGGTAGCACAAAGCCATTCCTGCAATCAGCTCAGACTGTTTTGTAGAAATATTTTTTTGTAACATAGGAGTTGATTAATAACTCACAGATGGCACTTTTCCCACTCAGTCTGACAGGTCACAGCTCCAGGTTGCAGAGGCAGAACCGAGTAAAGGCAACACAAGTTAATCATGTTTTATTCAAAGCATGCTGTAGTGGAGAACTAATTTATCCAGGAAGTACTTCATGCACTGCTTCCTAATAATGCTATTTCACCTGTGGGGAAGCAGTGGTGGTGGGCACTACACGGCTTGAATTTATTTTCCCTCTTCACGTCACACCTGGATCATTTTCTCTCCCAGTGCAGGAAACACACTCAGTCCAAACTTCCTCTTACAGTTCAGAAAGCACACACACACAGCCCCACGCTGAAGCAGCTGCAGACAGCTCACTGCCAGCACCACGATGGCTTACCGGGATCTGCTGGATCTCCCCCGTGTTGGTGATGATCTGCTGCATGACTTGCATGGTCTGCCCGGTCCCACTCTGTGCCTGCTGGCTCTGTCCTTGTGGCTGGGCCTGCACAATCTGCACCTGCTGGCCTTCTCCCACCTGCATTGTCACAGGGCTGCATTCAGAACAGGGCTGAGGCCACGCAGTGCAGCACAGCAACAGGCAGGGCTGCTGCTGAGCCCCACTGCTCCTCACTGATGCTTCAGCCACCACAACAAGACCCACGTGAGCCTGGCTTTAGGGCATCCTGCACACTTTATAGTAACACTATGAAGAGGGAGTACAATTTTCTGATTGTACAGATAGCCTCTCTTTGGCACAGTTACTCAAGAGACAAGCCAAATATATTCAAGAAAACGCATGCATTTCAAACTGAGATTTCAGAGCTCTGAAGATTGCAGTGGCCTGGTGTCGTGGTTGGCACCTGGTAATGGGAGCATGCTTCCTGTCAGAGCAGTGCTCATCAAGACAAGCAAAGGGTGCCGTGCTAACCTCACCATGGTATTCTCAACGTGCTATTAATAAAGGCAGGGAGAGGAAGGGAAAAAAACAAAACCACACTGTAACAGTAACACCACCGACTGCATAGAAATAGAGCTCAAAAATCATTACAGCTTCACTTGCATGTGGAAAAGACAGAATGTATGCTATGGCTGTTGTCACTTGCTCTGGAGTAACAGTGCACTGCACTCCCACAAAACAGCATAACCTACAGCATAGAAAGTCAAAGGATATTTCTACTTTGCTCAGTGGGTCAACACAATTCAGCTGGTTATGTTGCAAAGGAAAACCCATTTCTATAGCACTACTGACTGTTGGCAGCAGTGAGAACAGGACACTGCAGTGCACGACCTGTAAGTGAGCCAAGGCTCCCCAGCACACTGCACAGCCCTGAGCTCTGCCCACACTCACCTGCCCCTGCTGTGGCTGTGCAATGATGATCTGCCCCGGCTGGATGGTGGTTGTAGATGTCGTGGTCTGCTGTCCTTGCTGCTGCCCCTGGACCTGCACTGCAGCAGGCTGCTGAGCAAGCGTGAAATAATACTGCACGGGTTCAGCTGGGGTCACAGCCTGACGTACCTCTTCCTGCAGCACAGCACAGAGTGGGTAAATGGGGAGGGAACCACCAGCTGCCCAGCCCAGCCACCACTGAGCACCCCCACAAGCATGAAGGTGCCTTCAGTGCCTCCTTTCTAACAACTCAAGTAACTCAAAAACGATTACACAAACCAGGTTTCCTCATTTATGCAGCTATAAGGAAATCAAAACCATTTCCAGTATCCCACATATAATAATGGAGTCACCAATTTCATTATGAGAAGCAAACGTATAAAATTACCATAGCTGAAATCCACACAACTCCTCATCAGCAGATTCCATCATCACCTGTTAAGATCTTAACACAGAATGAATTGCAAATGCACAAGGAAGACTTGCAAAGCCTCATCTGTCAGCAAAGCCTTCTCCTTAGCCCATGTGCCCAACACAAATCTTAGCCTAGCTCTGATGCCAAACCCCTGGGAATAGAAGCCATGCACTTGGTGCACACTGCAGGGCCGTGGTTTACTTATTTAAATCCAGCTTTTCCAGAATAATAACAACTTTGTCTTGACAGCCTGATTCTGCAGGAAGCAGGGATATCTCATGAGTGTAAAGGAACAACAGCTTCTGCTCTAGCTTGCTGTCAGAAGCTGTCGTACTGCCATTTTGTTTCATCTATCGATGCCTTTGGAAGAGAAAAGCGCCTTATAACTCAAGATATCTCAGGCAAAGTAGATCTGGGGTGATTATGCTACATGACAAGTGATTAATACTCAAGAATCACAACTCTGGAGCTCCAAAGGAGCACTGGACCCTGCACCCAGCAGAGGACACAGCTCACCAGATGTTCACTCCATGGCAGAAGGCGTAAACAATCCTCTCCCAGCCACCTCGAGTTCACAGCTGAGAGTGTAGGATGTTTACACGTGCTACAGCATGGTAGGGTCCACGTCACACAAGTCTGCTCCACTCCCTTGCATTAGAAAAGGCTTGCTCATGGCTTACCTTCAGTGTATCCAGCTGGGCAGAAAAAGAATTTCCATTAAACAAAACTAGCGTACGTTGCCCAGATGGGCATCAGGCTTGGGTAGGAGAGCCCCTTCCCTTCAGTGCTCAGCTCTCAGAGGGACTCTGAGCCACTCAACAGATTTCTAACAGCACAGCAGGAAATGATACCCCAAAGGTTATGCTGTTGGCAGCTGGCTGTAATGAAGAAGTGACTCCTGAGCCTGGCCCTCAGCACTGCCCCACAGTACTGCGGCTGCTGCAGTCACTTACAGCACTTCTCACACACAGCAGCACACAATTAATTCCTACTCACTTCATCAAATCCTCTACAGGAGGGATTAATAATAAATTTAAGTATGTATTCAACAGGACAACTCTCCAACTAGTCATAAAACTGCAAGCATTAAAGAGTCATGGCTGTTTCTGTGAAGCCCAGTCCTTAGGTACACTATTTCTATAGAGCTCCAATCCTGCTGCTAGCTGAACCCTCAATTAAGGACACCAGCACCTATTCCAGGTTCAAATTTTCCTTGCTAGATGCAAAAATGACTTTAAATACAAATCTGCATGAAGCAGGCTATACCCCATCGTCGGGCATCTTTTATTTCCAAGCCATAGCTTCAGTTACCAGAGCAACATAACAGTCATGGTTCCCTTCTCAGCTCCTTCTCGTAACCAACACTAAGTTGTCAAACAGTTCTCTCCGTGGTAAAGCACAGATTGCACCCCCAGCCAAAAAGTGCAGACTGTCAGCCTATGGGCAGCTATTCTTCAGCACCGTGGAATAAGAGGAATATTTTCCACTGAAAAGTCCTAACCTACGTTGGATTTCTCCATCAAACTTCTCCTGCCCTTAGCACTATTTCTCACGATTCAGCTGTGTTCAGAGTGAATCTTATGGTATCTCTGTATCAAACCAGATACAGACATGCTCCCACTGCAGTCACTTCAGTAGAACCGTGAGGACATAGCAGGTTCTGTTGGGATAGGAGAAGGGGAAATGGTTTCTCATTAAAAAAGGAGAGATGTAGATTGGATATAAGGAAGTCTTTTTCACAACAAAGGTGGAGAGGAGTGGCACTGGTTGCCCAAAGAAGTGTGGTGCTGTGCTCCTGGAGAGTCCTAAGGTCAGGCTGGAAGGGCTCTGGAGCTGTGAAGGTCCCTGTTACTGCAGGGGAACTGGAGCAGATGGCCTTTAAAGGTCCCTTCCAACCCAAACAATTCTATCATTTCGAGATGAAAAGTGAAACAGCAGCTTTCAAACTCCAGGTCTACAACAGGAGCACCATCTCTGTTCACAGTAGGTACTTCTTGTATGTTTGACTTATAACGGAATACAAGAAACACATCAAAGCAAAGCTTCCAAATAAAGCACTTGTCAGAAAGCTGTTTTACAGTTCTCCAGTCTTTCCAGTAGCACTCGGAAGAAGACATTTTAAGGACCACCTTGGACCTTTCAAAGACCTCCAAAAGTATCTGAAAACCAGCAGAAGGAAGCAGGCAGACACAGCCCAGCTGAGTGCTGGATCTGTCTCTGTGCACGTGAAGCAACACGACTGAGCTTCAGCCCCACCTCGCTGCAGTTTGGGCACCGTCTCACACACGAGGGTAACAAGTGCTCCTGGAGCAATGTCTGCTGGCTTCCACAGGACAGCAGCACCCAGGTGACTGCAGCAGCCTGCAGCTGTAAACATCCGACTGAAAGCTCCCGCTGACACCTCACAGCTTCCAGTCAAGGATGTTTACAGCAGCAATGACTGCCCCGAAGGATGCGGGGGGTGGTACTGCTGGGCAAAGCTGCCTGGATTCCTCCATGGCAGCCAAAGGATGCAGAGTCAGCACAGTTTTTAAAAGTTCATTTTTTAACAGTGGTAACGTTTGTTTTCAGAGCTGTTTAGAAACGTTTTTGTTGCTTCAATAAATGCCCAAGTTGGGCTTCTGTCATCACCCCTCTATCTCCACCAAAAAAAATTAAGAATCTGAAAACTATGAAGAATAAACATGCATAAGAAGGGGCACAAATGTGCCTAAATCTGAGACGCTGTACTTCTTGATCAGCTCTCTAACAATTAGAGTGAAACCACCCCACAGAAAGGACAGCCAACAGGGCAGCTGTTCTGTCTCACCTGACGCTTCGGAGGCTTCAGCTCATCTCTTGGGACGATGTCAATAAGAAAGTCAAATTGATCAAACTTTGTAATTGCCATGGCAATGTCATTCCTCTACAACAGCAAAAAGAAAAAGCAGTTTTCAGCTTGAGAAGCACATTTTGTCACGAGATAAATAAAGCAGAGCTTTTTAATCAAAGGTTTTCGTTACACTTCAGCTTTTACAGAACCTCCCCTAGGTAGAACCTACATGTTTGGTGAGAAATAGTATCACAGGATCTTATTTGGGGCAGGGGAATCCCGAGAGATGTTGAGAGAACAAGATGCAGCACGTGGAAGGGCAAGACTCTTAAGAGAAAGCAGGAAGATTAAAATACATAGTTAGCAAAGTGGCCAAAGGTATCAGAGAAAGGATGCACAAGAACCAATGAGCTTTTAAGAAACACTGGCAAGGCAAACAGCTTCTCAAAGCTGCTTTCATGTATATAAGGATAAAAAGTTTATCTAAATAAACTTTTCTTTCATATCTTAACCAAAAGAAGAAATCCAAACATGAGCATTAGGTCACAGTGCTGCAGACCTGAATAGAGGCAGCCAGCATAAGGCACCACTGCAGTGGGTTTGCTTAAGATCTCAAACAACCCCACGATTAAAAAAAAAAAAGAAAAAAGACTGAAAGTCTTAAAAAGAAAAAAATAAAATGCACTCTGTCATTTTAACATTCTAGCAAGCCATCTTAAAAAGCAGGGCTAACTCAAGAAGCTATTAAAAGCCTCATTTTCATTAACTGAAGGTAAATTTGTAAAGCATTTCTATGAACAGCGATGCCTACGCTGCCTGACGTGTGGTTAACATTAAGAAGACCATCAATCCTCACATTTCAGGCTAGCTGACATTTCCAAACCCTGCACTGCCTTGGCATTTAAGTGCAAACAATGATCATGCAGAAAGCAGAAGAGAGACATTTCTTCTGTTCCACGGGCAGCATATATTATAACAGCATCTTCACCAGGAAGAAAACTTTTATTGAACAGATGTCTCTCCTATTTCATTCTCCGTGCTGAGGACTGGGTTCAATCCAATTTCCTCCCATAACTCAGACCTCTCCACTCTAAATTTTTTCCCAAATACTTGATAAGCAAAGACTGCATTCCTCCAGCTGCACTGCCCATGCGGAGAGCAGCTGTTCTACGACGGCAGCTGCTGGGGAAGGCAAAGCACTCATAAGTTAAAACCTGGGTCAATTAAAGGTCTTATACACTAGGATCAGGATATAAGTGCAACTCTGAAATAATAGCTTGAAAGTTGTTAGCAGGACATGCCTGAGTTAACACTTGCTGCTTACGCAGTGCCTTGTCCTTGGTATGTGTATCAAATACACCCTTCCCACAGTAACTGCATTAAAACCTGGGTTAAGGAACTGGCATTGGCCTAAATTAGTGAAGATTAAGTGGTCAGACACCCATCCAACAGGACACCTTCGGGCTGGAATGAGTCTTGTCTGCTTGCCACTATAGCAATCCCTGCAGCAGAGTGTGGGAGAACCATTTTTGTTTTCATCTCTGGACGTTTATTGACACAAACTAACATCTACAAGCCTACCTTAGGAGAATTACTACTGAAAAACAAAACAGCCAGAAGTCCAACATACACAGATATCCTAAGTAATTAGAGGAGGTCACAATTAGCAGACAGCTGCAGCTTTGTTTTTTTTTTTTTTTTTATATGGCTGTTATTTGTTTTTAAAACCAAGTTAAGCAAAACGCATTTAAGTAGCACAACCATAGTGGGCAATGTGCTTTGTACCCAGGTTCCTGGTGATAAAAGCCACTGTTTACAAAACATACCTCCTATTATGAAAACAAAGAGTTGGAAACAGTTTCTGAAGCTGCTGAAGGCCAGGTAGGAGCTGCTGTTACCTGCAGAGTCCTGCGCTTGTTGTCTTCTGTGTGGATCCAGGCCCTCAAAGTCAGTTCTGTTATGAATATCTGAGCTGCCTTGGCGAACAACACAGGAGCCTCAGCACTAATCATCTGTAATCAAATGTACACATTTTTTGAAGTTACTATCAAGATTCCGATGTGCAAAGCCATAGTCAAGGTAACTGCATAACGTTACTCAAATCTGAATGGCTGTGTTGTTTAACAGCAAAGTTTGGGAAATTTCCCCATCAGTGGATCCACGGGTCTGACAGTCCAAAGAGCCTCCAGTCAGACACAGTGCAAAAAAACTGACCACATACAGTTTGTCTTCAAAGCCTGCTTCATGCACACCTGGTCAATGCTACCTCTTCATGTTGGGTTATGTTGAGCCAGCAACTTGCAGCTCTGAATTGCACCAGGGTGTACTCAGCTGTGGGCATCAGCCAGCAGCTTCTGCTGGCAGTGCTGGGCACACACAAGTGATTCTGAACGAGGACAGAAGCTGAAGAGAGCCTGGCCCTTACTTTATAGTTGTAACATTAAGATAATCTGAAATGAATGTAGAAATTGCAAAGGAGGTTTGGATACACAGATAAAGACCATGCGCCTCACCAAATTCCTTTCCCTTAAAAAGCATCTCGCTCAAGTTTTGCTCACGTTGAGCAGTTTCATTATTAGCTGGCTTGGCATTAGTGCTGAATCCCCAGTACAAGCTTCTTAAATAACACCAGAAGGAATGCCAAAAGCTCTTTTCCCTCTTAAATCTCACCTTCCCTTCATTATCACAAACCTGGCACTCACTCACTTCAGACATAAATTGGGACCTGAGGGGGTTGGGTTCCTTGTGGCTGCAGGCTGAAAGAATAGCTCCCTTGGATAGGGAGACAACACACACCTTTTTCTGACTCTCATTTAACATTTAAAGGCTGTCCTAGGAGAAGGATGGTGTCACATTGAGAATAAGAGTGCAAGCCATTCTTTTCTCTCTTAGGAGAGCCGCGTCTGATGGACTCTTCCTCTTTAAACAACGGGAGGGTTGGAGCAGAGCAAGACTCAACATGCACTCAATTCTCCCCCCTTCCTTTTATTCTGCTAACCTTTCACCAGTTCACTTTATCAGATACAAGTCAAAGATTCAGCTCAAATATCAGTACCAAACCCATGTTACCTACCTAGGTTATTACTTTTCCACAGAACAGTGCAGCACGTTTAAGTGCTATCACTGTCCACGTTGAACCTTCTACAGCTTTGTGAAAGGAAGAGTCAAGAAAAACAAGGAGAGGTGAGAAAAGATGGTTCAGTACTGGGGAAAAAAAGCCAAGCAGCCAGGAAACACCCAGAATTATGCAGCAGATTGGTATTTAACAAAAGAAAGCAGAACTGAAAAAGTCTTTAGCAAAGATCCCAAGTGATCTTGTTCAGTTTAATTACACCAGGCCAGCTAACGGTGCATTCCAGTAATTGTTCTGTAAAGTACCTTAAAAATAATGATAAACAATGACAATAACAAGTAATGAATTGCAAGGAATTAGAGCTACAACATCCACCAAAAGGGTCATAAACACTGAAGACAAAAGCCATGAGAGTACCTTCACATCTTCATCTAGTTTCATTATCTTCTTAATCCGAGCCAGGGGCAGCTCCTGAACCCTGAAGTCTTTCTGCAGAGAGATCCACATTTGAGACTCTTTAGTGACACTTAACTGAAAACAGAGGTAAGAAAGGTTAAAACAAGCCGGTGTTGTTTGAAACTGAACCAGCTAAAACTCGATAGAAATAACTCATTTTCTTTGAGGTATGGCAGTTCCTCCTCAGATCTGAGCATTCCCATCCGCCTTCCTGTATTTCATACAGCACAGCAGTACTTCAGCCTTCTGTCAGACACTTGCATTTACAGTTTCACCTCAAAGTTGAAGTCCTTCTGCAGAACAGAATGTTTCTAAAGTTATAAATAGATGCAGAAATGTGTATTTGAAGCAACTAATTCAATTAGGTGTCTTAGGACTGAGAAAGCAATGGAATTTGCAAGGACTCACTAGAGGAAATGAAGGCAAATAAGAGCTGTGTTGCCATAGGATGAAATCTCTGCTCTACTTGCACTTCTCTGCTGCCCAGTACCAGTTTTAGTGCCCAGAGCCCTGCAAAACCTTGTCTACTCCTGTATTTAAATGGATTTCTTGCCATTTTCCAGCAAAGGGAACTGCTGACTCAGAATGGTGTAAGGATGGTTTAGGAGGCAGCGAGGAGAGGAAGCCATCACTGCAGTGAATCACCCTGCCCTGCTCACTGCTGGCAGCTGCTCAGCAACAGAGATGCACTGAGACTCTGCACGGGGATGCCAACACAAACCCCTGAGAAGATCCAAGGGGTGAGGGAAGCTGCCGAGCTTCACTGCAGCACTGCCCTCCCTCCTCTGCAGGTACAGAAGAACAAAAAAAATCCAGCATGTGCAGCCAACAGGAGCCCCTTCAAAGAGGGACAAAGGTAAGGCTGGAGCCATTGCACCAGGATTGCAGAATCCCTGCACACAGAGGGCTTCTACAAAATGTCTTCTCCACAAAAATGGCACAAAAAGTAAAAGGAAACTCTTCTCTCTTGGGAAGAGAGCGCTGTGAGACATGTTAGTGAAACAAAAGAGGGAAAAAAATACTGAAAATGCCATGTTCTACTGAAATAAAATACAGAAGCTGTATGTGGTACAGGCAGCGCTCCGGCAGGGGGTGTGTTATTAATTTCTGTATGAAAATGATAGCTATGTATATATATCAGAACACACCAAAACCTTTGAGTTCTCACTCTGGAAAGAATCGTGGATGCGGGACTTGCAGCAGGAGGGCAGGACCCTGGTGTGGAAGGACTGGGAGAGGGCAGGCAGGCAGGAGCTGTGTCTGAGCACACACACATCAGGGTGGCACTTCCCACCAGCCACCATCACATAAACAAGTCGGGAGGTTGCTAGGGCATGAAAAAATATCCCAAAGATTTCCTTGAGTTTATTTTGTTAAGCTCATTCCTTTTTAAAGTGCCCCATGAGCTTTGGGCCTCAAGGAAAGATGACGACAAAATTCCTAATTTGTGAAACTCGTAATGGTGTTAATTATTTCACTTCCAAGAACGAGAGAAGTGCAAGCAGACACTTGCAGCTATAAGTGCACTGCACAAGGTGCAATGCTATTAAAACCTTCAGAGAACAGAGACAGTGGGAGAAACCAGAACAATTTAAAGAGCCTTTATTCCTTTAAGGCTGACAGGCAAATGTCACATAAATCAAAATCAATACACAAGTACCATGGTGAAGGGAAGCGTGACCACTGCTGGCTACTGCCCAGCACAACTAACTGTAGACACCAATTCTTCATCTTTTCTTTTTTCCAAATTAGGTCTCAATACTTTCCCAGGCCACTTCTAGCTAACTGAGGAGCTGCAATGCTTGAAGCCTAATTCTGCTTCCTGCTTCTCCAAGAGAATGCTACAGCCCCTTCGTCCCGCAGGACAGAGGACAGCCCAGTGATCCCAGCTCTCCCAGAGCAGTTCCTTTTTCCTTCCCTGCATTCCTGCCAGCGGTGGCACGTTGCAAACGCCCCAAAGCAGAGAGCTGTGCAAAGCAGGCCTTCATCACAGCTGCTCTCACCTGCACAGCACAGCACACACAGATGAGCTCCGAGGTTACTTCCATCCACGTGCGTGGCAGCACAAGATGCACACGAATGTCAGGGTTTGATTGTGCTGGGAACAGCCACATTCAGATGTTCTGCACTTCATCCTTTTCCCTGCTATCTCTGCTCCAGTGTCTCCAGTTAATTTCCAGTGACTTCCTACCTTGCCGTGCAATAAATAGCTTCACATAGCAGTTAAAAATTAAGCTGCCCATACTTGATAAGCTGTGGAATAAACCCCTTTCATGTGGAGACAAAGACAAACTACAGCTCTTGAACACAAGAGTTCACCGCAGTAAAAGCAGAAAGTAATTAATTCTGGTTATGCATACAAAATTCTACATCTGTTTCTTCAATCAACTATCTGCACGCAGGCAGAAAAAAAAGCAGCTTATCTTCCAACTACTGGATTGGGGTTTTCACTTTGAACAGCCCGTCTTCAACCAGAGCTCTTTTGTTTTCACTTGCATTACAAGCTCAGGATGTGCCTGCAGGACTGCTGCATCACAGTCATCTCTCCATCTCTCTTGAAAAGCCATTTTTTATTATATGCCCTCGTTCTCAGGCACATCTCTTCTGGGGATGGAAAAATAGAAGCTACTTAGTCCAATTCCTATTCTCAGCCTCTATGTGATTTTTTTTTTTAATGAAATGCCTTTAAATTAATAAGGCACGTGATAACGATGCACTTGGCATTCAAGTGATTTTCAAGACTTCAGGCTTGTCAAAGGAGGCAGTTCTGAAAGAGCATAATTGTTCTATACAGAAAATGAAAACCAAAAATTCATTCACAAAATTGCCGCTATCTGCCAATAGCCAGATGTTTGAATTTATAAAGGAGAAGGAGGGGGATTAAGAGTGCTCTTACACGGAAGTAACTCTCATCACTTATTTTGTATTACTGAAGTTGAGAAGCAGCACAACAGCCTGCGCAGTACAGCGCGAGTTACAATCTCAAATCCCTCAACCTTCTGTTAGCTCAGAGCACTGAAGGCAGCTACACCTGTAGACATTCCGAAATCCACCACAGTTCTGTAGAAGCAACGTGACCACTGAGGCACTCACCACCGTGAGGTTGCGGATCTCCTCCATGACGCGGGGCCAGAAGGACTGCAGGCTCTGCTGGGCATCGCTGCTGCTGCCTGTGCCGAAGCTGCCATCTGTAGACATGCTGGGAACTGGGAGAAAGCAGAGCAAGCATCAGCAGTGAGAGAGAGATGCTGGCATCCAGAGTCCCAGGAATGCAGAAAGGGCCCAGCCTGGCCAAACAACAGGAGAACTGCCAAGGTATGGCAGGCCATGTCTCAGCAGCCATGTAAAGATACTCATAACCTCTGAAAGTGTTGTTGTTGTTTTCTGTTTATTTTTCCAAAGATTGTAAAAGAATATATATATAAAAAAAAAAGAATTGAAAACAAAAGTACTCTCCTCATTCCCTTATATTAGAGTTCTGTCTTTTCACAGGGACTTACAGAACACAAGCAGTGCTCGCTCACAGCCCACACTGCAGTGTGCACCAACTGGAAAGTCATTTACTCTAGTGCTTCTTACAGCCAACAACAGAATACAGCAGCAAATCCCCTCAAGGTGAAGAGACGATGTCAAGGTCAGCCTGGTATTATTTCTAAAAAGCTTAATTAAACAAATTCTTCTGTGCCTGTTAGAAAGGTGTCATTGTGCACAGACCTCGCTATCTGGAAGCACGGCAGGATGCCCAGCAGGCACCATGGAGCAGGCAGCCGTGCCCAGCAGGGTGCAGGACCTGATGTTCCCAGCACAGAAATGTTTGGGTGGACACCAAAGGAATTGGTGAGCACCTCTTGAGCGAGCACAAGCACAGAGTCCTGTGTTAGTGATGCTAAATGCTCCTGGGGACACCCCAAGCAGCTCTGAGGTCCCCACAAGATGACAGGATGTACAAAGATGACGACCTCTGAGCCTCTCCTCGTATCCAGCAGCTGTGAAGAGAGCAACGGTGTTACAGCTTCCATAGGGAAACACCTCCAGAGAAGCACTGTGCATTACCATGGAAGGGCAGAAGACAGCAGCCCACACTCAAGCTGGGACATGAATGGCACAGCTCGTGTTGCTGCCAACCCTCAGCCCTTCTCCAGGCCAAAGGCGGCACAGCCTCAAAGCAGCACAACAGCACTGAGTCCAGCACCTACAAGTCCAAAGGAGGACATGCCATGAAATCCTATGAGATCAGGGAGAGGGACAGCGCAGCACCTCCTGCAGGCTGTGCTCCCCAGGCAGCCTGTGGGCAGGATCCTTTCCCTTTAACCACCCTGAGAAGGAGGAGCTGGGGGGAATTTTGACAGAGCACAGCAAGGAGGAGGGCACAAGATCACAGTGAAACAGGTGCTCGAGACAGGAAGAACTGCAGGCAGGGCACCTGTGGAAATCAGCGACTGACAAGCTGCTTGATGGCTCTTCAACAATTATTTGCATTATAATGCCATCCGCCTACAAACGAAGATATTTCAAGTATTTATAAGAAAATACAGAGATAAATATTCTAATGAAAATGTAAAATTGGCCCTTGATCCCCCCCCGTGATCTGCATTGTCAAATACAGACAAAAAATAGTGTAGATACACAAATAGAAGCTAACCCTTTCTACCTGGCAATATTTCAACACTGACACTGGACAGGGTCTTTGCTGCAACTGGAGATGCCATTCATCCTGGTGCCAAGCCAAATCACTTCTCAGGGCTGACTCAAAACCACAAATGTCTTGCTTTCAGCCTGCTTAAATGCTGCACTGGAACGCAACAGAACCCTAAGAAGCAACAGGTTAAAAATGGAGCAAAGGGGAAGAAAGCTCTGGCATCAACACAGCATGACATGCAAGGGCAAATGAAGCATTGGGTGTAGGCCTCTGTCACGTTCATCCAAACTTGGAAGGAGGAGCTGGAAACGGTTTGCTTCAGTCACCCAGAATTTAAAGGGTCCTCCTGATGAAGGCACAGAATTCCCACCTGCAGAGCACACACAGGACTGGTTTCAGAACAGCAGTGAGGGACACCTGCTATGGAGAGTGACTACTGAGCAGAACTGAGAGGAGACTGCCTATGAGCAGGCAAAAGAATTGCCCACAGACTGCTTTCTTCATAAAACTTACAGAAAGAAATAATGGCAGACTCTGAAATAAAAGCCTAAGCAGGTGAAAACCACTAAGACTATTCCAGTTCTTAGTTCCTACTAGGAGAGATACATAAGGGACCTTGAATATTCTTGCAAACACTAGAGGAAGACTGTAAAGAAAACAGAAAAACCCAAACTTCCATGCAAACCTCAGTGTTGGCTCCACGAAACCAACTTTAATAACGGAACCATTCCTGCACCATTAGGTAAGTTCCTTCACCCGGGGGAACTGCATTCCTGTGTTTTAAGAATGCCTCCTATCAGGAATAGCACCAGCAGAAAAAACACCGCAGCGCAGGGCTGGAGATAAACCCCCTGAGCTACTGGGAAGGCAGCTCCTGTGGGCTCATGGGATCAGCATCTCACCCTGTTTATCTGCTTTGATATGCAGGGAACTTCGACAGCTGCCTTCCACTTTGCTTCCCCCACCCCAGGATTTACTCCTGTGGATCCCCACAAGCTCCAGGCTCTCCCAGCTCATCCTGCTGCTGAGTAACAGAGGCTCAAACCCATCTCACATAACTCCATTAGGCACAAGCAAACAAATCCCAAAGCCCAAGGCCTCCAAAGCATGCACCAGGTAAGAAATAGGCATGTAGGAATGGGCTGCATCCACCCTGACACCATGCATCCCCTCTGCACAGCCCCAGGGTGCCCCATGAAGGATAACATTCCGTTTCCAGACACAGGGAAAAGGAGGCCAAAATGCTGAGGCCTGGACATAAAATGCCTGGAGGTGATTACAGAGCAGATTAGCCAGCACATCTCAAGAACTAAGGCAGCAACACTTTGCAATTAAAGCTTTTCTGCTCACCAGAGCAGAACACCTTTTGCAGACGTTAAACTTACAAAACCCTGTGGCAGCTGACAAGTGCTTAAGGACCTCACTTCCTGGGAGCACAAAGCAGCCATGAAGACACTGCTGCTGTCTGTGGCTGTTTTGTTTTTAAATAGAGCCCCAACAAGGATCTTTCTTTAATGCCTGGGAAGGGGAAGCAGCCAAATGAAGCCATCTCCCTCTGGATGCCTTGATGCACATTCAAGCAAGAAGTTGCTACTGGCAACACAAGCTGCAGAACAGCTGCAAACTAAACTCAGAGCTCTGATCTTGCAGTTCCACCTGGAGCTCCTCAGCTGGAAGGAAGTGGCCATACAGGGCAGGAGCTGGGCACTGCCACAGAGCCAGGCACAAAGACAGCCTCCATCTCCCACCTCCAGCCCCAAGCAGGCCATGCCCAGCAGCAGCTGAACAAACCAGGTGGGTGGAGAGCAGATCTAAATGCAATTTATCCAAATATCTGAAGGGATATGCAAACCAAGAGCGCTGGAGGGACGTGCTGAGAAGCTGTGAGGCTCTCAGGGAAGGAGGAACCAGCTCCCACCACCAGGCACCTGCTGCTGGGCAGAGCTGGCAGGTGCTTTGCATGGCACAGCGCTGCTCCCAGCCCGGCTTGATGAGAAACAGCCCATTCTGCACAGCGATCCATGGCAGCAGTTCCTTCCCAGCACCTTCAGGATGTGGCTCAACCTGCAGTGAGATGGAGGCTGTAAAGAAACAAGGCAGAAGCACAGATAAGTGCTGTGCCTCAGCACCCCCAGCTGCAGGTACAGAAGTATTTGTTTAAACTGAAAACTGCCATTGCACGTCCTCCCCCCATAAGAGTCTATCACCATTCCTCTGTGGAATTGTCACCTGCACAGACAGGGCTTTGAAGAACCACCACCCAAAAAGCCACACGACCCTGTTGGTTTTACACTTCCTATCACACAAACTCATGAGAAGCCTAATTATTAGGAAGTGGCGTTACAGAAAAAAAGCAGCAGTGCGTTTCCTTTCATGTTACTATTTTTTGATATAGCAAAGAATAAAAACTGATGCCTCTGCACACAGCAAAACCCTGAAGTATGAAGAACGGATCCACAGAGCTGAAAAGTGAGTATGTGGAACAAACACTGCTCTGACATTCAGCACTGCTTCCAGCGCGACGCTCTCACTGCAGCGCTCTGTTTTGGGAGCCTGTCCCTTGATTAAAAAGTAAGATGTGCACAGCCCACTTGCATATCTAAAGAATGAGCTCTGCGTAGCAAGAAGTGCCAGACACCTGATCCTGCCCAAATCAGGAGGAACAATCTAGCGACGCTGAACTAGTTTCACAAGAGGCACATACAGGTTTACACGAATCCAGTAACACATTTCTGTAAATGGTGGCAGAGGAGGAGTCTTCAATGCATGACAGCCACGTGCCAGCACCCCCTGTGAGATCCTGCTCTCATTACGGCCATTAGGGCATCCACAGGAGCAGCAGAACCCCCAAACAGAGCATCAATCCAGTTTGGAATGGGCTACAGCAACCCTGAGACTGGGCAGCCTTTGTGATGGCTGATGCTGAGCTGACAGCACACCTGCATGCTGCGAGGAGCTGCGTTGCTTCGTGTGCCATCACACCCCATGCAACCTCACTTTAAAACAAACCTTTGGAAGTCGTGCCAACAGGCTGAAGTGCTGCCACTGAGATGCCTCAACTCACCGCACAGCTCCTCTGCTTTGAGAGCCACTCAAGATAACATACGTAATCTTCTAATTCCCATCCAAACCTCCTTTCCTGAAATAAGGTCACGTTTATTGCAATTCTAAGGAGACATCATGTTTATATGCAATAGTTTTTGAAGCAAGATCAGCCTTGAACAAAACCAACCAAACAAAAACCAAGCAGGAAGCACAGATAACAAGCAGGACATTCCAGCCAAGAGCACACCCAGGCTCCATGTGCTGCTCTGCACAAAGCATCCAGACACACATATACTTAAGTGTGAGCGATCAAAACACAGCAGCACAACTTCACCCCTTGCAGCACACACACAGGCTCTGCTCAGAGCTCAAACTGCACCAGAAAATGAACTTCACGTGAGCTGAATGGATCTGACTGATGCTCAGAAAGGGGCAAAGACAGCAGGGTCAGCACAGTGACGTTCAGCACACGGCAGCACCAGCGATGCTGCTGTTACTAAAGCAGAAAAACAACCACTTTTA